ATAATCTTTAATGATATGAAAACCTGTTATGCTTCTGTTATCATTATGCTAGACTTATGCCTTGGTATAGTCAGGAAGAAGCTGCTTCTGGGTGTGGAGATTAGCATTTGTGTGACTAACTGAATTAGGCTCTCATGACTAGCTTTTCTGTTTAACCTTCAAGGCAAATGACAAGGTTTTCATCATTCAAATATATCATATAATATGACCAGGAACAAACTTCCAGAATGATCTTTTCAAGCTACTCTTTGTAAGAGTAATTGTGTATCATTGGAAGATCCATGATTTCCTGGAACTGGGGAAGCTCAGCGGCATTGGAAGAAACCACTTCTCTGTCAAATGTGGAGAGGAGGCTAGCCAAAAGAGTAGCAAAAGGCAGCATGAAGTGTTTTCTGTCTTTAAACCACTCTGCAGCAGAAAGATATTCTGATACGGAAGCTGTTGCACTGAATATCAAAAATATATTGTGAGGTCTGAGTTCTACTCTTTGGTAGTTTTCTCAAAGTCTTGGGATAATAAAAACATTGCGGTGGTGTTTTTCACTATTCTAGAGACAAGTTTGTGAAAGGAATTCAAGCATTTCACATATGAATTCTGAAAAACTGGAACGCTTAAGGAAATTCATTTTGAACATAACAGATTTTAAAGGGGTGATGCTGAAAAAGAATTTACAGGATTAGTGATGGGAATAAGGCTTATGTAGCCTGGTTGGACCTGATTGGACCTTAGTCTAGGAGGTTGCCAGTTAAGAACACAGTTGTTTGTGGTAGCCTGAAAAGATTGAATTAATTTAGGAAATTTGGCCCTGGAAGAGGGCTGCTTTACTTGAAGAACTTGTTCTGCCTTAAAATATCCCTACTCCTCAAAGCTTATGCTGGGAGATGAAATTTCAGAAATTGCATACCAGTGTTACAGTTATTTAAATGTATTTCTGTTTTTGTTAGACCTAAAACTCATAAGAATTTTCTTTCCTATGATCTCATAGTTTGTAAGTCTATTTCTGTCTTTTTTTCCCAGTATCTGAGTTTGCTTTTCTAGACAAATGCAAACATTGTATAACAAGCACAGTAACTGCATGATTATTTACTTAGGGCTTTGCCTTTGCTGAAGTCCTTTCATTGGGGCTTATGTGTGGAGTTGTATGTGCTTAGTTCAGTGAAGTGTGGTTTAGCAAAGTACAGTCAAACAGCAAACATACTGAAAATTTTATCTTACCCTTCCTCTCCTGCAGCACAAAATAATAAGATTATATTATATAGTTATATCAGTAAGCAATGTAGTTCTTAGATCTGAAACCTCTACCTTGTATTATTTTGGGGAGAGTTCTTTTTGGTTTGCATGTGGCTTTTTCCCCTGCTTCTGAATTCCATCTGCCTCAGATAACAGCAGTGATTTTCCATATTGCTAACAAGAACTTTCCTTTCTGTCCCTGGTGTTCTCAAAACACTTGTCCGGTAATGGTTCATAAAACAATCGCGCTCACTTTATCAGCAAATCTTCTGAGAACTCCTTTTTAACTCCAGATGAAAATTCTCACTGTATCGCTGTAGATTCATGTGAAAAACATCTAGTTTCTGGTGTGTCTCCAGGTGACTACAAAGAAATTGTTTGAGATTCAAACTATCCTGCAGAAGAAGACTAAAACCCATGTGTTTCACAGATAAGGTGCATTCCACAATTGCCTTGCTTCCAGGGAAGCATGCAACCTACTGTAAGGCTCAGGGTGTGTCTAAGGGAATACTTGTGTGTATTTCCCACCCCCACCTCCTGGTGGCCCACAACGCAATAGGACAAGGATCTCTTTTGTCAGATTGGGCAAGTGTGTTGTGAGCTGCACTGGAGGCCCTCAGCTGCAGTGCTCTTTACTCATGTGGCAACAGCACCCTCCCTGAGCTGCAGCCAACCCACTCGGGTTTGCTCCAGCATTTGGCGGTGGTCTCCCACAACTAACTCTGTGCTGTGGGGAGCTTCCTGTATGACTGCAGCTGCCTGGAAAAGATATTGAGCTTGCAGCTTCCTTGGTGAAGCCTGCCACTGAGGCAAGAACTCAAAGTCACAACCAGGACAACCACGACAATAAACATGCTACACGTAAATTCTGGCTCCAGCCTGTAATGGGGAATTTCAGCTTGCCCATATCTGCCCTTCCTTCCCCTCAGGAAAGCAACAATAAGGCCATGATTTGTCTTGTTTTGTTTTCCAGAATGTCAAAGCAATTTCAAGTACTTCTTTGAGGGCCTTGGGGACATGTTCAAACCTCATATTTAGAGGAACTCTGCTTATCTCGTGCTTAGGGACAAAAAGAAAATGTGAGGCCAAACCAAGCAGCTTTTGGAGAGTAAGAGCTGGGGCCTTGTTTTTTGTGCCTTTAAAGGCTATGTGGCTGGAAGTCCTACTTGCCTCCCAAGAAATCTTCCTCATTTTTCAAGGCAAAACTAAAACTGCTAAGTAGCAGGAGATGAAGAAAAAGAAACAAACCAAAAAAACCCCCTTTGCCAGCAATGGAAGTGGGAGGCTAGACAGAAAGCCTAAGAGGATATGAACACAGGACTCAGGCACAGAGACATGACATGGAGCTCTTGCTACTTCTCCCTTTTTGCTATACTCCAGAAGAAAAGGAAATTCTTGGAGAATGGAGTCCTTTTTGAGGACAGAGAGAGTCAAGCCCATTCCCTTGCAGCACTAATCCTTTTTATGATGCTGCCAGGGTCCCTTGCAGTAGGTCCTGCCTGGATGACAATGAGATCAGAAGGTCCCATGATCTCCTCTGAGTACCTAAAGGGGCAGAGGGCAATGAGAGAGATTTCTTCAGTTTGTCCCCTGGGTTTTTCAGAAGAATCTCTGCTTGTGACCTGCAGACCCAACAGCTCTTGTTTAAGAAACAAAATGCTTCATGGGATCAAATAGTACAGGTCTCCATTTACTTCCAAGAGGGTCGTGGAGGGGAGCAAAAGTGCTGCTCACTGTCACTCTTTGTAGGAATACACAGTTAAGGCTTCTTTCCTTCCATTCTCTCCCAAAGACCCTTTGTGGATTTCTCCACTGGAAAAAGTTTCATCTGTTCAATTTTGTCATCCAGTTCCACTGGAAATGGAGGTGCAAACTGAACCACACAGTTCTAAGGTGACTAAGAGTGCAGAAAGAGGTGGAGGTTTGACATGTACAGTTTGACCCAGAACTGCCAAGCACTTGTAAGAATTCTCTGACAGCATCCGCTTGGAAACCTGATTATGGGGAGCACAGACCCAGCACCAAAACTGGAAGGACTGCAATATAGAGCACTGTGATACCACCCAGTGCATGCATGTAAATGCCTTTCAGAATAATTTTTTTTCAGTTCTTACTAAGAGCATACAAGTGTCTGTGGGGAAACAGGAGCATTCCTTCTTCTCAGAGATAAAACCCTCTACTTCAGGAAATAGAAACTTCCTTTCGAGGCAGCTTGCTTTTTTGGTCCGAAGTAATTTTACATTTTTAGCGATAGACTGCCCTGCAGTGGTGAAGTCAAAATCTGCAGCCCTACTGACTTACACAGAATCTTTAAGCTTCCTTATTAAGAAGTAGTTCACCCATCACTGGAAGGGCCAGAAAGAGCCCATGCAAACAGAACAAACAAAAAATGAATGCAGCAAGGAAGATTTAGTGCGCGGCAAAATGCCACTACTGACTAGTAATATTTTATCTTTTTTTCATAGGAAACAAGGCAGATTTGATCATGCCTTGTATCTATTTGTGTCTGGGAGTTATTTTCTGACTTCAGCCAAATTTAACTGCAAAAATGAAAAATTCAAAGACAGCTAAGTCTCGACAGATTTTGAGAAAAGCAGCTTTTGCAAAAGACTAGATGAAAAGTATGGCTGTTGTATCAGCAAAGAAATTGTTAGACAACAAAGAATCCACAGAGGAGAGTGACTTTGTAGGTGTCCCAGGAGGTAAATATCAGTCACATCTCACAATGAACATAAAGATAAAAATCCTTAGGAAACCCATAGTGAAGCAGAAACCAGGCTTCATTAGTTGCTTTGTAAACTGATGAAACTTCCTTAGATCAGCTATCTCTCCAACTCCACATAAATTAGCTCTCCAGTCATAGTATTGGAAAGCTTAAAAACATCTACAGTTTCATTTTCTGCACGTTCCTACCAGTGTCTGCATCCTAAGCTGCAGCACATTTGATAGGTTATTAGCAGCACAAAATAGTGCCACCGATCCTTTAGGTAGCAAAGATGCTACTATTGAGGTTGGCTGTTGCTCAAACTCTCAGAAGGGTAAAACAAAATTACGTGTTCATTAACAGAGACAAAATAATACCAAAAGCCTTTTTTTTCCACATCCAACAGGGGTTGTTTACCCTCATTGTACTTCAGATGATTCAAGAGATAAACATCTTCTGGCTAATCTGCTTCAGCTCCCCTTATGGCAAGATCAGACAAACAGGCACTTTTGAATGCAATTCAGCTAACCTGGTTTGGATGTGTTCTTTGTTGTGAAACAAATGAATGTCAAAAATGGCTATTGCTCTCCATTTGCTGTAGAGGAAGCCTAGGATTACAAGCTTAGAGATGGGCATCTATTTTGCAAAGGTTGGAATTTGGAGAGCTCTTACTATAGTAGTAACTGTACATCTTGAAAGCACTGTGAATGAACATATGTGAACATAGCTGAAAATATATAACTGTGATGACCTGAGACAGTTCCAACATACACAGCCCTCCTAAAATAAGATCTGGTGCTAAACTAGAAGTTTCTCCAAGTAATCTGAATCACTTCATGACAATTATTCATCTTTGGCTTTGTTTTGGCAGACAGAATCAACTTCTCTCCCACCTTAAACATTGAAATTTCAGTTTTTAGGGAGCCAGAAATAGACCCCCCCAAAAATTTAGGATATATATCACTCAACCTCCATTAACTTGAAAAAGAATTTTTCTTCTCTTTTGAAACTCAGACTAATGAAAACAGTACGTAAATAACTACAGAAGCCATGTGTTTTTGAAATGTGCTTTTAATCATTCAGAGAAAATAAGCAGATTGTAAAAGGATCCAAAAGGCTGTGCACTTGAAGAACACAAATTTGTGTTCTTATTTTGTCACAAATAAATAGAGGACTGTTCAAATTAATCAGAGAACAAATAGAATACATTTACTGGGAAAAGCAATGTTCAAAAGTAGTCAAGAAAGCTAAGAATAGTGCACAGGCCTTTCAGTCAAACGCTGCTAGTTTTTTTCTGTCTTCATTTTGATGTTAAGCTGATGGCCCTCTTGGTATGGTTCAGAGATCTTGCCTTGTCATTTTCTTGTCTGCAACTGACTGGATTGTGGGTTCTTGCATTCAGTGTCTTGACAGCTGCAGCTTTCCACATATATGTACTTATGTGAAATTGAGTGCCCACCAGGACACTTCAGTACCACGTGCTTCTCAGTAGTCCTTGTTTCTCTGCAGCAGGAACAGCTGTGATCCATAGAATTGGCCTCAGCAGAGTATCTAGTAAAATAGAAAATGGCAACATTACTCAGTGCCAGAAGCCAACATACAGAAGGAAAGGGTGAAATCACGTACAGAACTTCTGTGAGAAGCCACAGTTGTGGCTAATGGAAGCGCTAAGCTCATCTAACAGAACAGTGATTATAACAATATGTTTTTAAAGTTCATTGCGCTTGCTGAGATTTCTTTTTTTTTGGTAAAACCATTGATATCAAAGTCCTATAAAAAGCCCCCAGTGAGTACAAGATCACCAGCTTCCTTAGATCCCTCTCATAATCCTAGCACTGATGGATGTTAAATACACCAGATCAACAGTTAGGGGGAGACAAAGCCCTGACCTGAATATGAAAACTCCATAGACAAAGGGCTACAATGCCATATAGAATGGCATCACATCAATCAATTGGCTACAAAAGCTACAATTGCATCATGGGAGTAAAATGCATATCCCAGTCAGAGCAGCGTTAACAGGAAAGGGAAGCAGCAGCTCTTTCTGTTCCTAACTCAAAGTATTTTTTGCAGTCTTGTGTTCATCAGCTTCCCAAGCACCATTCCTAACCTGCAGAATATGTCTATATCAGGCTATGAACTGTGTCAAGATGCACCTTTTTTTTTGTATTTGTGTGCAGAAGCAACCACAGAAAGACCCTAAGATGATAAGGTATTTCAAAATACTAATAAACTCCCTAGCCAATCATAGTTTCATGTGATACTAAAAATCAGTTTTCTCCCATGTAAGGTACCGTGTGGCATACTCAATGATAGGCAGCAAGTGACAGTTTCTTTGGGGAGTTAGAATTGTGTTTTTCCAGTGATCACTACCAGGTGTCCTACTAGCCACTCCCTTATAGCCACTTTTTTGTATATTCTCTCATTTCAGAGAAAAATGTACAGTCAAAATACTCTACTAATACCATCCCTAAAGCATTAGTTTTCCAATTTATTTACTGTATAAAAATTGTAAGTTTGAATCTTCCTTTAAAAGATGTATGTGTATTTCATTTTATATGTTAACTATTGAGAAGCAGCTTTTGAGCTTAAGAGTATCAAGTCTGGCTGCTCCTTGGGCTCATTCCTATTACAGGAAATTATCCATGTTCTTTCGTGATGATTTCTAGCAAAGGTGGTCTGACACAAATGACAGACAAGGCAGCTGTTACTGGATGAATAGACCTTATCATATCTGTCTGAATCCCAAGGAAATTTAATACATTTTTCTGCTTTGCATTAAGACAAATCAACTGTTCAGTCACAGATTTCATGATTTTGTGTCTGTGATTTGGGGAGCAGATAGTCCCAAGTCTTCTGCCATTCTGTATTCTGCCTATTTATTGTTCCTTTTATATAAACAAGCTCAGTGCCAGCAGAATTTAAATCTCATTGTCTGATAAGTTTACTTACAGCGAGACGGTTCCACATGTTCCTTCACACTCAGTCATGACAACTCTGTCCACGGAACGGCAGCCGTTATAGACAATAAAGTCTTCTCTTTCACGGACAGAGCACGGGGTACTGCTATCCACAGGTGCACCTATAGGGAAAGATCAGAAAATACGCACAGTGAAATACCTCCAGAAATTCCTTGCAGTTCAGCATTCCCTCGGTTTCACTAGTGCACTCAAAGAACTGTCTTAAGTGGTTTTTCTGCTTCAGCTTAAACTTTTCCAGAGAGATTGGACAGTGAATGTTTGGAATAACAAACATAAATATAAAAATATCTAAATAGAAATGTATCAGCCTCTATTGCTGGAAAATGGTTTGATTAAAGAAGACAATTCATTCTCTGTATTGTTGATTCAGATACACTGGGATACTTACAGGTTTTGCAACAACCATTAGGTAAGAATGAAATAGTTCCCTAAAAGAACAAAGAAACAGAAAAAAATTATATTGTTTTATTTCTCAGTATTGAAAGAGGTTTTTAGGCCAATAACTAAAGCGAGCAATTTGTCAATGGCTGGAAACAACCAGTGAACACAGCAGCATTGATCTGAATAAGTAAAGATAATGGTCTCTCCCAGACTTGAAATCTATCAGTTTAAAAAGGATTGTGAAAATAAAAATAACTCTCTGAAGGAAGTCTACAGTTAACATCATGTCATTTTTCCTCAGAAACTATTCCAACAAATGCTTTCTTGAAGTTTTCTGTATTTGAATGAGCAGTATGCACAGTGTTACTGGCAGCCTATTGACTAAACAACTTGTGTTCCTGTAACATTCAAGAAAACATGGTTCCTGTTGAGACAGGACCCCAAACAAAGCATTCAGCAAAGACTTAGTATCTCAGTGCTGACCAATATTTTGGCTACTGAGAGACAGTTACCAGTTATAAGCCTCAAATTCTCACCCAGATATTTTATACACTGTATAGGGCTGTGCATGGATGCATTAGAAACTTTTGTCCTTGTGACTGAGAAACTATGGTGAAGGGTCATCAGAGCTTAATTTTACTTTTGTTCTTAGTTAGATGGCTGAACTAAACTGAAGTAATCTATATATGGAGTAGAGGGTAAATTTTCCATTTTTACTTACAGGTTTGCAGCTGTCCTCATTAAATGCTGGACAGGTAATCTCAGATGTGGAAGAGATAAGCTGGTTGTGGAAATCTACACAGCTATAAATGGTGCAGTTGTTGTTAGGATCATTTTTAAACTCTCCAGGCTGCAAGCAAAATGCAAAATGTAATAAGAAAAGCTGAAGGGAGCTCAGACAGAAATTTTCTTGTCCTCTGACAATGACTTTCCTCTTGTTTCCCAGTAAATTATTTTTAACAGCCATTTCAGATACAGATTGTTACATGTACTGCAATGTGCCATACATGGAAAGAATCTTCAGTTTTACATGGGATTTTCCTTGAGAAAGAAAAATGCCTCTTAAGTATGTAGAGTACCTTAACAAAATCATCCACACACAGCTAGATTTAATTATGCTAATTAAGAACAACCCTAAACTTCCACCCTACAGAGGCAATACAATTGTTCCATATGCAGGCTTCACTAGTGTTTATACAGAAATCGAACAACATAGACAAGCCCAAGCTTCCAGACAATTGAAAGAAAATCCCTTCCAATGGTATTGGATTTGTCATTCCAAGAAGAGCCTTCCAGAAAATTTGATTTCATGAGACCTACCTTCAGGTCAAAAAATTGTAGATAGGTTTTGCTTTAGATGAATCTTTGATCTTTCAGGTGCAAACTTAGACTAAGCCTTGTCTCTGGCAAGGAGATGTTCCCCTTCTGAAACAGGGAACTTTACAAATTTGGTAGAGACACAGAATGTAGAGCATACTTACACTCAAGATGAGTTCACCACTGTTTGCCACATGTATAATACACTTGGTCTGCACACATCTTCCACAACATTCACCTTTCACCGGTTTAAGTTCATATCCCTAGATATTAAAATTAATTAAAAACAATAGCACTATAATAGATGAATTTTTGAGAAATAAATGAAAACATACCAATCCATTGATTGATTATACTTTGAAGTGCACTCTAGATTTGTGACTTTCTGTGTTCCAACCCAATAGAAGACGAATAATAAAAGCAGGTTACAGACGGAATAAATTAAAGCACTGCAATAAGTATGCCTAATAATTAAATATCCCTCCATTAAGTGCTCTACAGAAATTTCCCAGCTAATCTGGCCAATACGAACTGAATACTGTCAGTTATGGAGTCAAGCTGCATGCAGGAGATTGCTCAAAGGACAGTTGGCATCCACACTGGAGTTGGTCTCTGAATTTCAACTCCCTGTTCTTTGCTTAATACCACTCATTGATCAAAGAGATTTTCACATAAATGGGTATTTTGGGTTTTTTTGTTTAAGTTTGCCACTTACCGGTGCACAGTATGTATTGCATGGAACAGGTTCACATGAGATGATATTCAGTTGAGTGCTGACATTAACTTCATTTGTGCAGAGACAATTCTGACACTTATCAACAAAGACTGAGGAGTTAGGCTAAAAATTTTAAGAAAAAAAAAGCATATGTTAATGGTATATGACATGTTTGACAGACACTTATTAATTTCAAAAAATCTGTAAATCAAGCAATGGAAAAGGAAAATATCTTAAAGACAATTGGATAGCTATCTGGCTAGCCATTTATAAAGACAACATTTTAAACACTGAATATAATTTAATCTGTGTCTTTATTGAAGTCCTATATAGCAATGATAAACTCTGATATTAAAAGGACAGGCCCAATTACTAGGCCCAAGCGAATTTATTAAAAATCTAAGTTTCTTTAGAATAACACTTATTTACATATCTTTTAATTTTCGAAAGCAGAGTCTTAAAACTGCAACAATGTACTGACAATAAATGGGGACTGACTTTTTAAAATGCAAGCACATTTAACTCAAATCTCTCTCCTGATACTGACATAAAAGCAACTCTTCCATTTATTTCATACACAACAACCTTTTCAGGAGAGATTTAGGCTTTGTGAAATTGATGACCTCCTGACAGAAACTGGAAAATTTCTAAAATATTGATTGTACTGGATAAATCTCTTAACGGTATTTGTGATCAAGTATACTAACTGGTCTTTTAGGCATTTTTAGAACTTACCAAGAACTCAGCACTCTGGTGAACACAGACCCCCTTGGGAACTGTTAATAAGCAAGAAGTTAGATGTTAACGTAGGAAAAAAGAATAAAAAATGTCTTCGCACCACTCTAGTCAAACTCATTTCTTCCACAATGAATTCAAATTCATTGGCTATTCCTCCATTCTGGTAGCAGACATGACATGTATAAAGTATAAGAACTAATACTGCATGTGCAAAAAGGGAAGATTTGTCCCAATATATGCAGTCCAGTTCATAGCCAAGAATGCCCAGTTAATAGGTACCAAGTACTTCCTTGTTTCAATTACCAAGAACAAAGTAGTCTTTGTAAAGCTATCTTCTACTGGGGATGCTTATAGGGACTTTTTGCTAGATTAAGCTGAGACCACAGTCACAGTTAATTCTGTAGCTGATCTTACATGTATTTATAATCAGGAGAATTGAACTTGAGTCACCTGAGGTGTTTCTGATTTCCTGGTTGTCATAACTATAGCAGTAGTAACCAATGCTAATAGTAACTAATTTCTAGAATCTGACTGTGTTGAATATTTCCTTCAATAGGCTTTTGCATACAGTCTTACTAAGTGTAATGATAAATTCTGTAATACATAATGCTAATCATTGCAGTATATTTCCAAGAAACTTACCGCACTGGTACACAGGACAGCACTGACCACTGGGAATGTAAGAATGAACTTCAAATCCCAGTGTGCACTTGGGGGCTTTAGCTGTGCAGAGGCTTGTATTGCATTCTGAGGAAAAAAAAAAGAATAAGCCAAAAAGTATACTAAATCACAGCTACTAGAAATAAGCATCTATCAAAGCGTTTAGGATGAACTTTCCATAGGAAACAGACCAGATTCTCTTCAAATAAACAAATTGCAGAAAGGGAACATATTTTTCCTAGTAAATCTAGGCACTGGTTTGGGGATACTGCATTAGTTTATGAAACTTTTTCTACTAGGTAATTATCCTGTATTAATAAAATATCCCAATTCTATACAGAGAAGTAATGAACAGCTGTTACTCTCTCCAGTACTATAAGCAACTGCTGCAAAATGAAAATCCACAGAGAATTCTTGCTTGAATAAAACTCAAGAACTAGAAATTGAGTTGTGTTGAAGTCCCATAACTGTAGATTCAGTTATCCTGAATAATTTCAATATTAAAATGCATTTTAATTGCTGATTTTAAAAGGCATGAGGAAAAATACTGTTTTGGGACTAACTGCTGCAGGTCTCTGGTGCTAAAGTTTCTTTCTGTTTCTAAGCAGTATAGAAAAACTAGAAACATAGTATAAACTCACTGCAGGTGACAAGAGGGCAGCAGGAGTCTTCAGGATTGACTTCAGTGACCTGATAGAAGCCTTCTCCATTACAAGTGACATGTTGTTCAGCACATTCATGAGGCTGGCATACAATGCCATGTTCCCCTTCCAGGCAAATACAGTCCTGGCAGTCTACTATAAACTTTTCCCCAAACTGTCATTAAAGAAAATAAAATTAGTGATTGCACAGTTACCAATTAAAAAGAACAGAAGTAAAATCAGGAAGAAAAAGTTGGGAAACCACAAAACAAGCCTGCACCAGTGGAGACCACTCCCTTCTCCCAACCCCCAACTTCTACTTTTAATCCAAAAGCATATGGCATCGTACCTCTCTTGGGATCATATCCACTCCAACACAGCCTGTGAAAATATCAAAATAAATCTCCATTACCAGTTACATACCAGTAGGCATCTCTACTACATGTTGACTGCCTACAGTCAGACCTGTGTTGCATACATAAAAAGGAAACAACAAAGAGGAAGCAAATATGCATCCAAGTGAAGTGGTAAAACTCACCACAGGTTTTCACGCAGACATCCATGCCAGAGTCATACAGCATTGTTCCATTGGGACAGAAACAGCCTTCCACTTGTTTAGTTGAAGTTTCATTTTGGTGACTATGAAACAAAATGTTCAGAGGAACACCATTAATGTCACAGGCACATAAAGGAGGATTATGCCAAATAACCTTTCACTGAAGATACAGTGGCAAATGATCTGCAGATTTGTGATTAGGGATTGTCAGTGTTTGTGTTTGGTCTAGCTGATCAACATAAAGAGTAGAAGCACCCAGACATAGGATCAACAGAACAGTGGTAACAAATTTGTCAGTTTAAGACATGAAAGGAGGTTGATTTTCCTCGTTCACCTGTGCATTAGATATGAGTGAACAGTTGTAGAAGGTATAACTAACTAATTATTTACCTTGATTTGCAGGTTGGCTCTTTAATAGGACCACATGCTCTGAACTCTTTTCCTGAGGGGCATTCATGAGCTGGAATGGAAGAATAAAAAGGAGGAAGAGCTCAGTAACTGTCATATAAAAGCCCCATGACCTTATGCCAAGAACTTAAACAGTGTTCACTCTTTTTCCTATGTATCTGTGACAACCCTGAGAAGCAAGGAGAAAAAAATCTCAGATATCATACTCATGTCTCCGAATGAAATTATTTTATGCAATTTAGCCATAGAGATAGGGAACCATCTTTACATTAATGTGATAAAGCCAAGAGTCTACATCTCAATTACAATTCTTTTTCGTCATTTCAGTCTCTTTTGCACAAGTTCTCAGAAGAGAGTGTATTCCTACTCTTTGTCCTCCTCTTACTACAGCTGAAAAGTAATGCATGTATCACTAAATAGAGTGATCTGCCGATGCCTGCAAAACACAAAACTGTCTGTGTACATAAAAGGTACATCTGATACAGATGTTTCTGGCACAGTCAACAGATGTTTATATTTGCAGGCTCATTTATATTTCCATTGTTAAAAATGTTAACTGCAAAATTACTTAAGGAAAGCAGCTGGTGTGATTTATTGTTGTCTTCATTGCTCGGAAAGCAGTATGACATTACTATTGAAATGTTTCCATACAAGCTTCCCTAATAATTCAAGATAAATGGCCAAATACTTACAGCATACACCATTGGTGTGACTTCTCCAGTCAATGCATACACCTTGATCAGCACAGGTGGCAGCATAGATCTGCAGACTTGAGCATTCCAGGTCTAGGTTGGGCAGTACACAACTATCAAAAACGCAGGCTGTATAGTACTTTTCAGGCCGCACAAACTCATGGCATGGCTTGAACACACTAAAACCAGAAATATTTATCATTATTAGTTACTGAATGATCCATAAATTTTTCAATGTGCTTAACCTGGTGTGATGTGGCAACAAGATATGTGGACATAGACTATGGATGAGAGATTTTTACTGAGAGCACTTATCCAGATTCTAACCTTTCAACATATCTTAAAGTATTCTCCACTCACCTACAAAGCACTCAGACACAAGTATTTTCAGGCCAGGAGCTACATGAATATTATTGAGTGCAACCACGTGCTCCCTCTTTAAAGACATTTTGTTTGGGTTTGGGGTTTTTTTTAATTCTGACATGGTGTTTTAAAAATTAAGATCTTTGTTTTCAGTTGGACTCTATTTTCTGCTAAGTGAATGTGGGAAAAGGCATAGGACAGAGGAGGGCAAAGACTGTAGAAGAACATGAGAACATGTTAACATAGCAGTCAGCGGATTGAAAGAAACTGTCAGCAAAGAATAACAACTAAAAAAAGTAAAAGGAGTGGAAGCAACCCACAAAGCTACAAGAAATAAAAGGTAGAAACACTTTTCATTGAAAATTAATCCTAAAATTGCCAATTCAATTGAAGATATCAGGCTTGTAAACCCAAGAGGAATGTCTACCTTCCCAAAAGAAGCTCGCAGATGGAAGATTCTTTGCAAGGCTCTGCTGGGGTTGTGCTAGGTGAACTTGTAGGATTTAGGCCTGGAGAGCACTGTGGTTTGGAGGGATCAACAACCTGCCAGTGATCTGCCATGGTTTCACAGTTTTCTGCAATGTTTCCATTTGGCAACATGCAGTCATCTGCCGTGTTGTTATTGCAAGTACCTAAGATTGGTAAGGGGAGAAAGAATTCACTCACAGATTTGTTATCAAATTCCATTCATCTTTGTAGCAGGGCTGTCATTGTGGTTTTCTGAGAGTACAAATATTGCAAGAGCAAGCCTTACCGCACTGTCCCTGAGTGTTGTTGCCAAACAGGCTGTAGGGCATTCTGATAGAAAAGGACAAGCCATTGTAGGTCACATTCATTTTTAGCTCAGGAATTTCCACAACACGATTTATGCCCGACTCATAGATGCTCACACCAAACTTTTTATAAGGCAAAGCCACTAAGTTATTGTTTACTGTCACCTAATAAACAAAGGAAAACAGAAAAGAGGCATATATTTAGTTTGACTTTAGAAAACAATTGACTGTTCATTTGCATTGCAGAGAGGATGTAAAGGTAAATAATATCCTTTTCATTTGTATCAAGTGTCCCTGTGTTTCCTTTTATGTTACTGGAAAGCCAAACTTTTCTTCTCTGAGCCAAAAAAAGCCTATCAACCTCTGTTAAATTAAGATAAAATTCAGGGTTTAAATGAGCTAAATCCCAACACTTAATAGACTCATTAGAGTGACTATGGCATTGACACCTCGTGAATGTGGAATATAAAATTCGCCTAAATTCATACTGTATAAAGTTTTAACTTTCTTGGAATAAAGGGAATATGCTTGTTGGAAAACTGAATGAAAGAAATAAGACTAAATCTGTATTATTTATTTAAATACTGTAGCCAGGATATGATTCTGTGATTCTATGAACTAACACTACTACTTTTACTCAGCAATGGCAGATTTCTTTGCTTTAGAGAAAAAAATGGGAAGTCTAAATGTTGCGAATTTTCAACAATATGCTGCAATCTGACTTATAATATTCTCACACAGTAATGTACAAAAATAAACCAAATAAACAGCATAAAGGTACAAAAAACCCGCAAACAGTTTCATTCAATTTTGAAGCCCCAAAGCCGGGACATCATATTTATCAATGAAATAAACATGTAAGTGCTCCTATTCCAAAAGTTAAAAATCTAAGCTAGTAACGGTACTTTTAAAAAAGGCTTAAGGTTAGTACTTTATTGTTATGTCTACTTTACATTACCTCCTCCCATTCAACATTTATTGTTTCCTTTGTTACATTAACATTAATTATAAATCAACTTATTTTATATCCTTAACTCTTAGTAATTTGTCCACACTTGTGTATTTAGGAGACATAGGGCACTGAAAATATTTGAGATTAAAAAGATAAGAATAATTTTTTCTCTCATGTTTAGAGTCAAAAAAGCAGTCCTTCAAATCAGTCCCATTTTATAATCTAAACTGTTATTGAATCTAAAACACGGATTACTTTATTTTTTTTTTCCAAACACTGTGAATACACTTATCATTTTGATGTGATATCAAAATCAATGGTAACATTCTCTCATACCTCGACTTGTAGAGTATTTGGTGTCACTGTTGTCATCCTCACTTCCTGAGTTTCATGTCTCACAATGAGCGTTCGAGGACATGAGACCACATCTCGTGAATCACAATGGTAGTTATCAATGTAGACACCAAAGTTGTCAACTTTCTTATTAATCTCTTCCACAAGGACATATGTACAATTCCCTTGGTAGCTGTAGTACAGTCCATCAAAAGTCATGTAATGTGGGTCTCCCCAGCCAGTGCAGTAGCCTAAAAAAACATACAGCTAAGTTAGACTCTTATGACAACATACAGAATCAGATCAGACTACAAACAAAATCTATAGATATGGGAATCATCTCATCGAACTTTAGGCATTTAAGTTTTTTAAGTGTGTTTGTCAATGCAGGAGCTTGTTATGTAGGAGTCGCCAATAAAAAAACAGGCTCTTTCAAGGCACAGTTCATCTGACATTACTGACAGACAACTGAGAATAGGATTAACTGTACCATAGATATATCTTTACCAATAGTCTGAACGAGTAATATATAGGCTTCTACCCTATAATCTGCATCTGAACATTTAATTCCTGCTTTGGGAGAGCATTTTATTCTACTAACCCAACAGTTATGTAGAAATGATGGCAACTTAAGCAAACACTTCAATTAGCAAAAAAGAATCAATGAAGCACTCCAAACAGACCCACATTAGAAGGCTGAGGGTCACAGCCTTGTGCAATCTTGTCCCCTAATAAATATTGTTAGTCGTGACAGTAGTATTGTTCCCACAGGAGATTAAATACTCAACAAAATATATACTTACAATCACACTCCCAATGCCAACAGCATCCATCCTCATCAATGACTGGCACAGGAGAAAGCCCATTGGCACAGGTAGGTTTAGGAGGTGGATTACAGATTATGGGAATCACCTGGACGATATCGTCTTCTATACATATTGCCTTAGTGCAGTTACAGAGCCACCATGACTCACCTTGCTGTGTTTGAAAAGAGGGGAAGGGGGAAGACAGAGAGAAACCTTATGAAGCAGTGAGTCTGATTATCTTTTGCAGATTTTTAAAACACCATATGTTTAATGACAATTTTTTCCCCACCAGAAATCTGAAAAGCTGCTTTACTTACAAAAGTCAAGGCACTAAACTGAAATGGGGATCACCTTTTCTAGTCTCAGCTATCTAAAAGTTACATGTTTGATCTAATCTCATCACCTAGACAGTTTCTCTAAGCAACAGTGAAAGACACTGACCAATATCAATGTTCAATATATGATCAATTCCCTTCCATGAATGTTTAGAACAGATTAACAGCTAAAGCTACAGTGAATGCCAGCTGTTCGGGAAGAAACGCCCAAGGTGATTATGTGCATGCATTATGACTGTATGCATTTTTTCTATCTTCCACTGTTTTTTCAACCATGTATAATTTTCATTCCTGCAGATCTACTGAGCAAGTTGATAGGCATCTAAGCCGTGAGGAGGCTTTAGAATTGTACAAGACATTAATTTGTCTGAGTCAGAAGTGGAGGGTTCAAAAAAAAAATCAAAACTCTGAGTCAAATTTGACGAGCATTTGAATCTGGTGATCTGTTTCACAGTCCTCTCCTGAAACCAGAATATGAACAAGTATGACTCTTTCAAAACTCAGACAAATTCAACGCTCTGGTTTTTTGTTGGGCTGCACTGTAAATACACAATTTTTTCCCACTTTGGACCTAGTCAAAAGCAGAAACAGAAAAGATAGTTTAGCACCACTTAGCTCTTGGTTACCCCTTCATCAAAGTTATCCTGCAATAAAGAGAAACACTGAATGGGGATCTAGCTCCTTGAAGAAAGCTTTTTAAAAACTATCCTTGAAGAATTAATAGCAGTATATATCAATCTGAATATCATTAGAAGTCTCGCTGATACCCAAGAAAACAGAAAGAAATAGAACAGGCTGAATCTTCCTTTTCTATCCAGTTCAATGCCTACTCTGTATGTTACTAACATTGAAGTTATGTGTCTAGTCTCCATCCAAATCAGAATGCTAAAAAAAACATGAAATACTCACCTCATAAGATTCATTAGGTAAAATGGAACATATTTTTTTAGGCGTAGTTGGTGTTAGACCTGTAGTTGAACTTGAGCCACTAACTGGAGTAATGGTACTGTATGTAGAACTTCCTGTAGTGGTGACTGCAGTTGATGTTGCAGTTGGCCCAGATGTACTAGCTGAGCTAGGGGAAAGTGTTTCTAAGGTGGTTGAGGTGGTGGTTGCAGTGCTTATGGTAAAACTGCTAGAGGTGGTTCCTGAAGTGGTGGTAAAGGTTTTGGTTGGAGTGGTACCAGAGGTGGTGACTGGCACAGAGCTGGTTGATGCTGAAGACAGAGATACAGTACTGCTAGGAGTAGACCCCAGAGAGGATGGTCCTGAAGTTGTGGTGCTGACAGGGGTGGTATGTGATCCTGTTGGAGGGCTTGTGGTCCCGGTGGTAGTGGTCTCATGGCTAGATGTTTCTGTTACTGGTGTGGTGCTGGTGGATCTTGAGGGTGTGGGACCTGAAGTAGTAGTTTTGGGGGTCGATCCCGTTTCAGTGACTTCAGAGGTGGTGACAGTCACTGGGCTTGTTGACACTGAGGATGTTGACTGCTGAATAGTGGTGCTTCTGGTAAACACTGTACTTCCTGTTTCTGTTGTTCTAGTTGTTGGCAGTGGAGTAGCTGAAGGAGTAACTGGAGTACTTGTCTTTGTCGGTGTCTCTGATCCAGGTGTTGAACCCTCTTTATGACAGGGAGAAAACACAGTATTTTAGGTAGGGAAATTGCATTTTCTTCATAATTTCATCTCATTTTCTAATAAGCAAATGTAATTCAACAAATATAAGCATAGGGTCTTTAGATAAGAATAAAACAGAAACTGTTTTATTAATGGTTTTTGCATCACAGAGGGATTATTAATAAAATCTCCTACATCTTCTGTAGGAGACATTGATACAAACACTTGATCAACAATCAGTCTCAGATGGAAGAGCTGCTGTAATGTTAAAACTTGATACTGCAAAGTATCAAGTTCAGAGAGTTCAGAGTTCAGCCGTCCTAAATCCAGGGGAATCCATTGAGTGATCAATGCTCAGTGAACTCTTTGATTAATTCTGTATTGCTATCTTACTATATTCTATGGACAGACCATTATTCCCTGTGCTACTTCATGTGGCACATTCATACCATCATTGATTATGCTCAGTCATTTGATTCTAATGAAACTGAGCAGTTGCTGGAGCCAGTATGTGTTCTATATCTAACTCCCAGACCTTTAAGATGACTCACCCATAAGATATTTTGGGATGTTAGGAACCCCAATTCACTTTTCTGGTTTTTCATTTTCACATGGCCAGTTTTCATTACGGGCCATGCAGACTCCTTTAAAATAGTATTTAATCAGCATTTTAGAAAGTGTTCAGGAAACTCAGAGGCCAGCCTCAGAACCATCTGTTTGTGCTTTTATAGCATGATGTGACACATGGTAGATAGAGTAGTACTGTGTACATAGTAAGAGTGCAGTAATGATGCTGGAGGAAGTAAGATACACTGTTTCTGCCCACACACTCCACAGAGAGAGTCCTTCAACAGAAATTAATTTGCATCTGGGTGAGAACAGGCAAACCCCTTCATGTACTTCATGTATTCTTACAGAGGAAGATTCCCTGGGATTGTAGAGGATATTGACATTGCTGCCAAAATGTTAGCTTTGTATGATTTTTTGGAAATATACATTAACCACACTCCTGCAGAGTATAAAAACTAAGACACATGGTAAGCTGCCAATAAACTCAAATTTCTCAAAACAACAAAGGAAAAGAAAGCCACAGAATTACTTAATGGTAATGTAGTTGGAGGCTGAGGGGTCTGGGTGACAATATTTATAGGAGATGAGGTGGGTGTTGGTGATCCAGTAACAACTGTGGTTGTCCCCGGGGTGCTGCTGCTGGTGGTGCTGATGGGGGGCATCGTGGTGCTGG